TTATTGTATATCTTAAATAATACCTTAGAAATTGACATTATTTCAACTTTAAAATATTCTTAAATCCTCTATTAAGAATTACAAAAAATTAACAAATTCCGTCATTGGTGCATCCATATTTTTTCATAAATGAAATGAAAATTCAGTCATTGAACATAAGAATTCAATTTTTTTAACAGGCTCGCAAAATTTCTGAACTTTGTACAGTGTTTTATTAATGTAATATCTAGTAACTGCTAGAATTTCAATGCTTTGTCAATGTTTTCATGTAAGGGTTCATACAATTTTAAAGCTGAACAATATTTTTCATTCGTATAGAAGTTGAGTAATGGGCTATGGTTGGCTTTTAATTTGAATTTTTACCTTTTCGAGTTAGTTCAACTAAAATTGTCAGAGGAATTTAATTAAAGCAGAAACTTCAAGCTTTAATTACGACTTCAGTTAATCCCGTTTGCCCCATTATTAATAAGGTTATCGACAATTAAATTTCGCGAATCTCTAAAAGTTTTAATTTGAACCTCCAATCTCCAATAATATCACAGTTATTAACGATCAAAATTTGCCACTGTCTTTCATCGACCTTAGTAATCACACAAGCTTTACTTCAGCATTATTGCGAGGTTGACTACGGTACTCTGAGGTATTCTCGTACCTGTAATCGACCCGTTTTACATGATAAGACTCCAGGGTTCTCAGAGCTCTCTTGTACAGCTGACAGACTTTCCTGGCATGCGTCACGATGCCAGAAGGTATTTCAGCCATCCTCTAATTATTAAATCTCAACGCTCTCTCTTCGTTTTAATATCGTCTTCAAATCACCAACACTTATCTAACAGCATTTTCACATGATTTTCACCCTAAGACGGAAAACGTTTTACAGAATGGAGACTCGATCAATCGAATGTTCGATACTCGCGCCATCTGGCCGGCTGGAGTTTAGACTCACAAAGAATACATGCCTTTGATTTGAGCGAGGGGTAAGGCCCGTATTCACAGTCCGTGCTTAAGAATAAGACCGTCTTAAGCAAATGCTTAAGTCGCCGGTCCGAACTTATTTGGGCGAATAAGCAAATGCCAGAGATGAAAAGGGAGATTGCTCATTTCTTTGTTCGAAAGTGGACACGGCTCACTACCGCACCCTAGTGTCAATGTCCATTATTTAAGGGGAAATAGACGTAGTTTAGGAGGGATTGTGCACTACTCCCCTCCAGAAGTGGACACGCCGAAGAGAGCTGAAAATATACGTATAAGATTTGCCATGCTCGTGCCTAGGGTATTCGTCTACAAGCGCTCCATCTCGCGGCCGGCTTCGTGCATCTCCTAAAAGAAGGGGCGCGTGTCGAGTGACGCAGTACGTGCGTGTGTGCGTGCTGACTGTCAGGCAAGCGAATTCTAAATTCACTCCTCGAGGCTCGGAATCTTCGACGCTTCGAGACTCGGAGTCTTCGAGGCTCCGTGTGTTCGAAACCCAGACAATCCACTCTTTTTTTCTTTGTTGTTTATTCATCTGAAAAAATTCCAACACGTCCGTAGCATAACTGGACACATCTGAGAATTATTTCAGATTTTTTTGTTACAAAATGTAACCGTGAAAAATAAGAAGGTGCTAAACATATTTTTGTTCACATAGAAATCGTTCGGATACACTGTCCATATTTTTATGATAGATTCTTATTGCCGCAAGAATTGTTCATGAATTTTTTCAGATTTTTAGGTTTGGTGCGTCAATGCGAAAAAAATCAAAAACTATGTACGTTTCATGTTGAAGTACGTAAATGAAAGACGCGCTTCCAGCAGCGGCAACAGCGAAGGGGTGATGACACGAGGTCAGCGATTGCTACGTATTTTTTTGACGTAGGCTCCCTAACCCCCACCAACTATTGGTCCCCACCATGGTCGCGTCGTCCCCACTTTCCGGCCGTGGGATAAATTACGAGACCCCTGGTCGCACGTCGCACGTGGTTCGATGTTTTTACGTAACAACCACGATAGCTGCCGATAGTACAGGGTTAAACGGCGGGATTGAATTAAAACTTGATAATTTCCAATTAAACAAGAATAACAAAAATACAGCAGCAACAAGCAATCGTTATCTTAACTGCGTCACGATTAATTCAATAAAAGTAACTACGTTTTGACTTTTCATCCATTTTTTAACCCCTATTATTATCGGCACGTATATAAGCGCGATGCTCATTGCTCGGAAAGCTACAACTAGCGAAGCTGATGGTTCTGATCGACACGTTGTAGTCTATACCTAATCGATTTTATTATGAACAATATAATACGATCAGTTGTTAAATCGCGTCATCGACGACGAATCGTAGACAGCGTGTCGTTTAATAGAAGTTTCAGTGACAATGTGAGTTCTTCACAATTAAATGTGGATGTTTTTGGTAATTCGACGATTAATCGTGCCTCGCTTCGTTTCAGAATAATGAGAAATCAGTCGCAACCAGCCGCTCAAGGACTGATAAACCTACCAGGATTAATTTAAAGGATAGCGTAGCGTCGATTAAGGATTCCTTGGTGGTTAAGGATGTTGATGGTATACTCGTTGATTGGTATGAGAAGCGTCCTCCACCTCTACCAAAACGTTGCGACATCGCGATTATTGGAGGTGGTGCAATGGGCAGCTCAATCGCTTACTGGCTGAGGAAGAGGGTCTATTCAGAGGATTGCAAAGTGGTTGTTATCGAGAGGGACCCAATGGCAAGCAGATATTAATTAATGGCAACAAAATAATTTCAGTGTTACATTCATGATCGGGAACTGAGAAAATTCCTGATGCTAGGAAAATTCTATATCTGAGAAAGAGAGAGGGACGTATCCAAAAATTACTTAAATAGGTTCAATAGTTTTCGAGAAAAAAATTCATGAAACTTACAATCTTATGTTAGAATTGTAATTTACATAATCAATTTTATCTTCTAAAGTACTGAAATTGGAAGGTTAAGAAAATTCATGAAGGTAGAGGAACACTATCTAAAACATATCCAAGGCTCTTTTAAATTCCGTCAATCGTTTTGGAGAAATAAATTTCGAAATCTCGGAATCCCATAACATCGCGTTATTATAATGGCATTCTCATCTCAGCGATCATAGAATGAAAATTTGTACAAAAACTGAAATTACTCTTTAGCCAACCGAATCCCATTATTATAAACAGGAAATGTTATTACAATTACAATTCTGTCACAGTATTCCACCGCGTCGACGGTGCTCTCCCTGGGAGGTCTTCGGCAGCAGTTCTCCATGAAAGAGAACATTGAGATGTCATTGTTCGGCGCGGAGTTCATTCGGAACGTGAATCAGTACTTAGGGATTGACGGGCAGCCAGCTGTGGATCCGTGCTTCCACCCGTACGGTTATTTGATGCTAGCAACGGAGATGGGTGCCTCCAAGCTGATTGACAATTCGAAGCTTCAGAATTTCCTCGGCGCTAAAAACATTCTATTATCTGCTGCGAAACTGAACCAGATTTTCCCTTGGCTGGACACGGACGGCGTTGAATTAGGCTGTTTGGGTTTGGAGAAGGAGGGATGGTTCGATCCTTGGGCTTTCCTTTCCGCCTTGAAGAGGAAAGCTATGCTTTTAGGCGTCGAATATGTTACCGCCGATGCTCGGGGGTTTCTTTATAAGAAGGATGCCAATGAAGCCGAGATGCTCGATAAACTGGTGGTATGTTGTTTTTGATTTATACCCAGTCTGGTTTAAACTTCGACCCCTGGAAACCTTTAATTTTTACCGTATCTAAAACAATCTTCATCTCGAAAACTGTAGAAGCTATTTAATTGATTCTTGGATATGTTCTAGATATACAAATCCTCTAGCTTCACAATTATTTTCAACCTTCTGTTATCAATATTATTCATCTTACATTAATGTACAATGAAAAGTTTCTCGGAAATGAATTCCAGCCCTTACATTTGATTCATTCTTGAAATTCTTTTTAATTTGCAATTCTAGATGAAGACCAAGAATGGAGAGACGCACCATTTACAGTTTGCTGTAGCTATCGTAGCTGCCGGGGCGTTTAGCGCCAACGTGGCTAGGATGGCTAAGATCGGGGAGCAGGGACCTGACCTTAGGAATGTTTGCTTGCCCGTTGAACCGAGAAAGAGATACGTTTACTGTTTCCATTGCCCTGACGGGCCTGGATTGAACACTCCTTTGACTATCGATTACAGCGGTACTTATTTCAGGCAAGCTTCCCTTCGTTCGATTAAAAATTATCTGAAACAGAGTTTAATTCGCGTTTTTTCTCAGGAGAGAGGGACTAGCCAACATGTATGTCTGCGGAAGGTCGCCGGAGGAATCTGAAGAACCTTCAATCGAGGATTTGAATGTCGATTACGATTTCTTTGAAGAGAAGGTGTGGCCTATACTCGCGCGGAGGGTACCGGCATTCGAGAAATTAAAGGTGACGATCTTGGCATTTGTTTGTGAGCGATTCTCAGTGGAAGAATCTAAAAAAACTTACGGCATCTTCGGAATGTTTAAGAATCTTTCCAGAATTCTTGATATTTTGGAAGAAAGACACTTGTAAAAATCGGGTCACGTAACGAATTTTTGACATATCGCGATGGAGAGAAAAAAATACCGTAGCACTTTGATAGGAGTCGTACGAAATGCACTTGTTCTGTAATTTCTAGCTGAAGTCGTCCTGGGCGGGCTACTACGAGTACAACACGCTGGACCAGAATGGTATCATCGGCACCCATCCTTACTACGGTAATCTGTACTTCGCCACCGGTTTCAGTGGCCACGGGATTCAGCAAGCCCCGGCAGTAGGGAGGGCTATCTCAGAATTGATCATCGACGGCAGATATGTGACCATAGATTTATCGAACTTTGGGTTCGACAGGATCGTGAACCAGGCGCCGATGAAGGAAGCAAACATTGTATAAAACCGAGTAAAACTATTCGAAGGAAATTGGCGTTTAGAAATCGAATTCAATTGTAATTACTTATTTATTAAAGTCTCCTCGGGAGGGGACCACCCACTTTTTTTTCTTTCTCAATACTTTTCATATATATATTATATATATATGTAGTGCGTATTAAGCATTCTTTATGTGTACATAAATCATTAAATGCAAATGGCTTGTGTGTAAAAAGAAAGTAAAGCGAGTGAGTGATTAAATGTATATAGATTAAATAATTGTATGTATAAAAGTGAAAGTCTTAACTCATAAATCACAGAAATAAAACAACAATTCACGTTTCGACTGCGAGTCGAATTTCTATTTTTCATTTCGACATTTATAAAGCCAGCGTCTTAAAATTGGAATAACTGATTCTAATGAAGGTAATTCGCTGAAATTTATAAGAACACTTCAACAGTGTCCTATCCAATTGTCTCTTAAGTTTCATTAAGATATCTTAATCGATTTGTTAATAATAATTAGAAGCCTATGTAGTAATATTACGTCTTATTGGCTCTCATTAGAAATTCGGTTCGCAGTCCTGTTCTCAGCTAATGATCGTACGTATACTAAATAAATATTTGCCTTATTCACGATATCCGCTCATTCCTTTCTTGCCTGTTATCGGTTATTGATTCGCTGTTTAAATGGAGATTCGGTTATTAAATAATAAATGCATCTTCATACACTGGTTCGAAGCTGTTAAGTAGTTCATTCGTTTCCTTAAATACATAACGTGCGTCTGCGTGATTTTGTCACTGTCCCGTGTGCTCTGGCTTTCATTCGTTTTCTTTCAATTCCAAGCCATGTAACTAGTCGATGTCGCGTTCTAAAAATTCTATTACGTAGTCGGAGATCGGTCGCGGATAATACTCTGAAAGATGAATCTCTTTTGAAACGCATCCATCGATGACAGAGGCATGGAAAAATTACAGGGATTATATGCGATCTTCTAGAATGTTTAAGGATGATTTAATCTTCTATACGTCAGAAGAAAGGAGAATAAAAATACGGAGACATTTGTAAAAGTATATCGATCTACCAAGGGATTATCGAACTTCGTCGTTTCTGTTTAAACAAATCGTCGACTATAGTAACGTGCAAAAATTACTCAAGTTACAGAAGAATCTTTTCAGAATTTTCGACGCGCTGTAATCGGCGAAGAAAAATACAGATCGAGCTTTCGTGTACTGCAAAAGAGTATCGCCGTCGACCGATCTGATCGTAGAATAAAATTATATCACTGTATTCTCTCTCTCTCTCTCTCTCTCTCTCTCTCTCGTGAAACAGTCGATCGTTCCACTAAGAACTGTGGATACGTAATGAGAATCTTCAGAGGGAAAGAGAAGGAACAAGAGGAGGCGCGCGCTAAGGGGAGGCCGCAAGCGTTCATCGTTTAATCCTCCTTCTCAGCCTTCTCGACGTCCTGCTTCTCCGCCTCTGTGTCACCTTCGAACTTCGGTCCCGGCGCTTCCTCACCTTCCAGAACAATCTCCTCCGGGTCCGGAGCTCGCGGCAGAAAGTCTTCGTCCGGGTACATCGACTTGAAAATGTTCTTCGCCTGTCGAATGAAAAGATTAGTTACAAGAAGCTTCTCATTTTTTCTCCGACTCTAGCTGATGGAAATTAATGAAAATATTCGGAGACGTACTACCAGACAAATAGTACACTTGAGAATTTTTCCAAATCGTTGCATCCTTATTTGATATTAAAAAGAAAGAAATTCATAAACTTTTCGAATTTCAATAAGATAATGAGAAGATAGAGTACTTGGGACGCTTATTGGTAGAAATAATTGAAACGATCGCTGTACCTGGTTCACGGCGAAGTCGAAGTCAAGATCCAGATCCGGTCCTGAACACAAATGAAGATTTTTGGCCGTCGAATCGTCAAGTTTAATGTCGCTTGCTGGTAAATTCAAATAGAGAGACCACAGAACCTGAGGCTTGGGACTATCCTCCGTCTCGTCTCTCGCGGCATGTTCTCCATCCTGAAATATTTGTATATACTTATGTACAGGGTGTCCCGGAACTAGTGTTAGGCCTTCAAATGGGGTGGAGCTGAGGTGACTTCAAACAATATTTTCCTTTGCACAAAAGTTGTCCGAGGCGTGGTTGTCCTCCCCATTTGAAGGCCTAACACTAGTTCTGGGACACCCTGTATATACAGCAATTTCACGATCTCATACAACAGTATTTATAAATTTGATTCAATCGGCGAACTTCGTTAATAATGAATCGATTTAGTGCGTTCGCGGTTTAAAACAAACTTTCAACTCTCCAGTTTACCTAAGAATTTCATTTAAGGACGTTAGTCCCAAAATCCATTTTCTATAGAATGTTTTGAAATTTTGCATGAGTATTCAATAGAGCATCACAAATATATGTGTAAAATTTTAGAGAGATCTGATG